CTGCAGTACCAATAGTACCAGTAGAAAACAAAAAAAATATAATAAAATATATGTATTAAACTAAATATATAAGATACACGATAGAGTTGGAGACAGCATTCAGTTCATGTTCATCATTTTAAGTTACTCAATGCCAGAGAGATCGCGAGTGCGTTGCCGGGCTTTGCCGTATAGGAACAACATTAGGTCACGCTTTATCACGTGACTATCATACAAATCCGTTTCACGCCTGTTGCCTTAAGTGGACATAAAATATTGAGAATTCTAATTTAATAAAGATTTCTTTTTCCTTTCAAACCATTAAGGACGGTTGCAGATTAGCGTTTTTTACGCGCGTATAAGCTCGTCTTTGGAACGCATGTAGGCACGTATAGGTGCTCCTTTTGGAATACGTGCAACTCGTACGAGCTTCTAACTTCTAAGCTCGTAAAAGTTCGCAGTTCTGGGTAGAGTGTATTAAAGTGAACGGCTCTCTGACTTGATGCAACCATCGATGACACCCAGCATCTGTTTCGTCTTCTCAGTCGACGGCGAATAAGTAACGGAAATAGCAATATTTTGTTCGTCAGAATCCATGTTGATACTGACACGACGCCACTACCGGTTCGAGCGAATACGCCGAAATATGCCAGTTTACGCGCATCCGGTTGTTTGAAGCGCGTATGCTGAGTAGACGCGCAGAAAAATACGCTAGTCTGAAACCGCCATTAATTATAAAAATAAAACACCGCCTACAAATAAAACTAACCTAATTTAATACTTGATACTTATTGACAGGCATTTAGTTTTTAAGCAATACCTTCATTGGGAAATAAGTCAGCCAATTTCTATTAGCGTCAAAACTACTTAACAACACTAGCACTAATTTTAAGAGTAGAAAAATAACTTATATATGGATTACATACGTAACATATAGCTTTATCTGCTGTAAATAAAACAGTGTACATTATACATATGTATGTTGGATTCGTGTAAAATCTAGTTGCAATATTTGTGAATATGTGAGCACCATGTAATTTAGTTATCTGTTTTTTATAGCACAATGTGCCTATTTTATTTTAGTATAGTAATTTTTTTTATTCTAGGTACATGGTATTCACATATAATTATCAAATCAATGTATACAAAATATTGTAAAAAAATTTTTAAACCTTTTGGAAGGGGAAATTATAGTCATTTTTTTAAATATTTTTATCATGTAATTTTAATTTTCAAAAGCGCCTTTTTAATATGTCTAATTGAATTTAAATGACTTTGACTTTTAGTTCTAATTATGCTTAATTATAATTTTAAAACAAACTTAATTATTGTTATTTTGATTAAAAATTAAAAAAAAAAAGATTTCCCCTTTTTGTATTCACACTGTTTCATTTGACAGCTTCTTTATATTTATATATTCTACTAGGCAGCCTGTTCAGTACTAGAATACACGAACCATTATCTATAAATGTATTATTGAAATTATTTAAAGAAATAATTTAATTAGAGAAATAATAAACTAATTTAACATTAATTTTATACATCAGATTTGACACATCATAATTCAAAGTAACCTTGTAAGGGCGGGCGTAATATATTATTTATTTTTTCGGAGTTAGATCTCCACAATGGCTTTTTTCCGATTCCGATTACATTTATTGCAATAATGAATACACGGTAATTTTACTATTTACTTTCACTGAAATATTTTGAATATAAACATTGTCTATTTTATAGAGCGAACCCTTTATTAATCTTGACATCTGTCATTTTAGCAGACTAAACTGTCAGATGTCAAATCTGATGTATTAAATTGGTCCTACTGAAGTACGGAAAGGATGTCTAGTAGTGTCTCCGTCTAACTTATAAATAAAATAAGTTCGAAAGAGACATTATACATATAAACTGTCTTTTTATATTTGCATTTTTGTACCCATTGGTACTTTTATTAACACCATTAAACCAAAACAAATAAAAACACACATGTATTTAAAAGCAAGAATTTGTTTCATTAAAATGTATGATCAACTTATGTTACCTTTTTACCTGTTATTCATAAAATCTGTCTTATTACACTGTTTCAACTAAACATCTGTCTCTTTTCATCACAGCGTTAACACTGTTTAGCAGAAAAAGACAAATGAGTACTAAAGCGAAACAGTGCAATAGGACTTAAGGTATGATTAAAGTCGAACATTAGTGCGAGCTATACTTCATATTCATAAGAACTTAATCAGTGAGGTTGCACCCTTGTAAACTATTATTTCCTCTCTGACATATTTTAATTAGGCTGTTATGAAAAGAGATAGATGTATACTAGATAAAACATCGCAATTAAACTGGTTTATTTTTTATTATATCGGTCGTTAACTAATCAGACATAGTTTTCCACGGTTCTTTAGAATCTTCCATTATAGATTAAATAACTCTTAGTAGGGTTTTATGAATAAAAGGTTTATCAAATATTTAGGAATTATACAATCTAAAAATAAATAAACAATTTCAAATCGTGTTTTTACCTTTTACGTATTTCATTACGTTTCTCTTTGGCACTAATTTTGTGATATCGAACTAAGTGATGTAATATTAACTTGTTAATCGCTTATTATAATTGACAATTTCGTACAATAATCTACAACGCACTTCGACTATTAGAAAGAGATGGATCACTTGGAATTGCTATCTCTGTCACATGTTCGTGCTATGACGAGTTACATTAAGGACAAATTGCTATGAGAAAAATAGCTGTGTTCTATTATGAGAAAGCATCTATGGTTTAAACATTTCAAATTTGACTATAAAATATATAAATCAATAAAAATCTACATACGAACTATTAAATATAGGTTTACGAATGTCAAAATACGATCTATATTTAGCTATCCCTTTCTAAAGGTCGAGGCGCAACAACAATTTTTATTTACCCTCAGAATTACTTGCGATATTAAATTGACTCAAGATATTTTGTGAGAAATATATTTGATAAATTAACATTAATGTTGCTAACCACATTCCAATACCATCGTTTCTCAACCATTTTTATGTCGCGACCCACGAAAAAGACAAAAAGGTAAGTAAAACAGTATTGCGCCACTGTACAATTTTAATAATATGTACATAGCGCGAAATATCTAACGAATCTTTTGTACCTATATGTAGACCTTTTAAAACAAACTTGACCCCTCTAAGGGTCGCGACCCCCCTCTTGAGAAACGATGCAATAGACTATGTATCTAAAGCGATTAACTTACATTATACATAGAGGATACCAATTTGTCAACGCGAAACTTCCAGAACATTTAATTTGTACTATAGGAGTTTTCCTCTTTAGTCTCTCGGAGCGGATTCGACCAAATGAAAAATGTCTTATTCAATTTCTGAGATGACATACCGAAGTCATACTTAACGCAGTCTCAATTTGAAACTTACTTATAAACAGGTATACTGCGCCTAATTTTAATGGATTATATTATAAAAGCACCTCTGGACCTCCAGGAAAAAGAAACGTGGGAAGACCACAAAAGAGATGGGCTGACGACATACATAAGGTCTCTGGCGAGAAATGGATGGAGGAAGATAAGAACAGATCCAAATGGAAAGTTCAGGCATTTATTATTTATATTTATCTTCTTTCTTTATAGAACACTCGCGAGTTCGTTTCCGCCTTTTTCTTGAAAGATATTGGACAAACGGACAGAAAGGTTCGCCAGTGCGTCGCCGTTCTTTTAATGAGACCAAAAACGGCCTGGTCGAATGCGCAATAAAAAATATTGAACAAATAGGCAGATGGCTCGCGAGTGCGTCGCCGTCCTTTAAATCAATTGGTACCGTCTTTTCTTGAGGACAAAAACAGTCTGGTCGAATCCGCCCTAAAGAGTATTGGCCCTGTACGTAAGATCACAATAGTGCCATCTAACAAGTTTACTTTTAATAATACTTGATAAAATATGGCGATATTTCTTATATACAATGATATGGTTATAACATCAAAAATTTTTCTGTCAACTTAACTTAAAAAGGATTTTTTCTCACGTTATAAATAAAGGTGTTTAATTTAACAAATTATTAAAAAAACTGCGTCAAAAACTAATTGGAACTCAATGCAAAAATCAATTTCTATTTTACCTAAAAAAGGAATGAAACAGCGATCAAGATACCTATTTACCGATTAATTTGGCAAATTTAGACAGTCTTAAATCAGCTTGAAAGAACTATCACAATCACTTTTGTACATTACCAATCGTTACAACAATTGTAGTTTAACCATAACCGTTTTAGATTACACATTGATACAGTTGCAACGATATTACTAACATTAACATTACCGTTATTACCGTTTTGACGCGATATAACGCTGCAACGATATTACTAACAAACAATACCGTTATTACCGTTTTGACGCAATATAAGTCGCAACGATATTACAACAATACCGCTATTACCATTTTGAGGCGATATAACGCTGCAACGATTTTACGATACCACTTGTAGTAACGTAATAAGTTTTAGCGTTAACCAATGACGTTGAAGGGAGCGTTCAAGTATTACGTAACGAATTTTGGGGGGGGTCCTTTTGTCTAACGTTACGATACGGGGCGGTGATTGAATTACGCGTTATTGTTAATATTATATTCGACTTTCCAGTACTTTACACCACATAATGGTAAATTTTAGGTATAAAGAGTCACTAGGTGGTCACGAAACGTTTTACTATACTTGGGTACAGAAAAACGTTACGGCGCGTTACATGGGGGCAGGGGGTTGTCAATAATCTCCAAAAATTGCGTGACTTAATACTTGAACGCTCCCTAAGTTATAGCTAAATTTACGGTTATAATAATTTATACCTTTGATTTGTTTTTCGGTCACATTGTTATGCATTATGAGTATTAAGTGTGGACTTTTATGAAAACTATTTTGAATGTTTTGACATTAAATTTTAATAATACTCGAGTACTTTAAAAAACGTTCTCAAATTTTTATCTTCTGATTTGGGTTTTTAACAGAATGACGTATAAACTTCATTTCTCACCCTTAAGTGCTTCTTCGAGGACATTTTTTGAGGCAATTTCCACGGTAACTGTCTTGCTGATGGTGCATAGCTGAGGCTCGGCGTCATCTAAAGGTTCGGTAATAATTCTTATTGAGGCAACTCTTGCGCGACGATATGCTGTTAGAGTATGGAAACCCAGGTACCTAGAAAAAGAAATACATAACTCAAAATCTAACTAATTTATTAAACTATGAGATAAGTTTTGTATCACGAATTTACTATTTCGCTGCGATTAGATGGCAAAATTGACAGCTGACAGTTTGCACTTAAATTTGTCTCTGGCCAGCTATCATAATGGACCAATCGATAATGCATTTTAGACAATCCATATAGGTTACAATATATGGGTAATTTTTATTCAATTGACAGCTGACAGTCACACTTAAATTTGTCTCTGGCCAGCTGTCATAATCAACCATAATGCATTTAAGACCTTTAAAAATAAGACATTCTGTTATAATCGATCTAGGTTTGGTTATTAAGGGATATACAAAGGGGGAAAAGAAATATTTCAGGATACCGGATAAAATTCCCCCAAACTTAATACAGAATATCGGTAAAACATCCAAGACAGCAAATTAAAAATCTAAATATAATTTTGCTCTTTAATATATATATGACACAATTTCAAATTTATATCCAGAAAATACTTACTTGGCGGCGACATAACAGACGAGCAACGCTCCCCCCGTACCAAGAATGCGTGCGACGGGCGACGGGTACAACTGAACGACGCCCCACGCGAACAAACCCGACAGCGACATGCAGATGAAGGCCAACGTGATACGGAGGAAGTGGACACCCGTGAAGCCGCGTTCCCATAGTAGCCTGGAAATGTTCCCACTGTATTAACATGCTTTTATAGCTTAATTTTGGAACACAAATATTGAAATTTCCCCCTTTTTCCCCCCCCGCGCCGTAAGGGAGCGTTCAAGTATTACGTCACGCAATATTTGGAGATTATTGACCCCTCCCCCATGTAACGCGCCGTAACGTTTTTCTGTACCTAAGTATAGTAAAACGTTTCGTGACCACCTAGTGACTCCTTATACCTTAAAGTTACCATTATGTGGTGTAAAGAACTGGAAAGCCGAAAATAATATTAATAATAACGCGTAATTTAATCCCCGCCCCGCATCGTAACGTTTTACAAAAGGACAACCCCCCCAAATTCGTTACGTAATACTTGAACGCTCCCTAAGATACATTTTTCAATGCATAAATACTTTGTCTGATACCATCTTAATTCATGTGGAGTACACACCGAATTTTTGGGTCTAAGGAAAGATTGTTTTCTTACAATGTTTTCCTTTACCGTTCGCGTGAATGTTTAAATGCACACATACAAAGTCAAACTGAGATGAAACCTACTTAGAAATATAAGATTTTTACACGCTTTATATTAGCTTCACCTGTATGTATGTATGTATGTATGTATGTAACCGGCTCCTTCGGACTCGATTTTGACCCACTTTAAACGGACAGATTTAATTCAAACTGTACACTTATAAAGAATCAGCGACAATATAATAATTTCATAGGTTTATCACGAAAAAACCATGAAATTCTTTTTAAGTCCACAAAGCAATACGATTAAATTGAGACAACACGTATTGCTGCTAGGACTAAAAAGTGGAAAATAAATAATGTTTAAATAAACTAAAAAACACGCTTTTAAAGCACATCAAACTAAAAAGTGAAAAATAATTCATTACCATTTTCAGCCTAAAATAGGAATTTTATTTATTATATACAATAGCGCAAAATAAAAACTTTTTAATAAATTTCTTACCGATTAGTTTCTTCAACATTGTATTGCGTGTTGCAAACTTTGCATTTCATGCTGTCTGGGGTGCCGTAGCTCTGAAAAACAATAAACTTTTAATCTGTGTAAGCACAGTGATAGATCGATTTTAATATTAATAAATAAATTGTGACTAATACATAAATGGAACATTTCCAAAACTCTAAGTTAAATATATGTCTGACGACTCATTGGTCTAGTGGTTAGTACCCCTGACTGCGAAACCATGGGTCCCGGGTTCGATCCCCGGCTGAGACGAACATCGATGTGATGAGCATTTGATGTTGTGCTTAGGTCTTGGGTGTTTAAATATGTATTTATATGTCTATCTATGTATAATATGTATGTATATCCGTTGCCTAGTACCCATAACACAAGCTTCACCAGCTTAGCATGGGACTAGGTCAATTGGTGTGAATTGTCTTTAAAAAAAAAAAAATATGTATTTTCGTAAATTGTTTCTGTACTTTTTCAACATAAACATGCCATTAAATTTTGGAGTTATTTAAAATGGATCTTGATTCTTTCTCTTTAATCTTATTTGTAAATTACAAGTTCTTTGAAAAACAATTTAACTGAACTTTTAATATATTTAATTTATAATCTTATCGTATAAATAGTTTGTACGAGCCCAGGCTGTACATTTAGCTAACTGAGGCTTTCTTTGGTGAATAAGCGTGGCGATCACCTCAACCGTCGGAGGTAAGCCCCGAGAGTATAGCCAGAAGCAGCCACTCTCTTCAAAATTTACGTTACACTCATTCAGCATTCCTTTTATAGTTAAACAAGTGAAAGTAAAATCCTCTATTATTTAAAGCACCCTGATGTCTCAGGAACCGTACATAGTTTTTTTTAATTCCCTCCAACCTTTTTTCTTATAAACTTACTTAAGCTGGAATCTAAAATAGAAACTCCGCCTCACTCAGTTTCCAAGCCACAATCAATATTGGGGCTTCTACAATTTCTATCACTCACCTCAATAAGCCATCTCTTTAAACACTCATGATGAACGGCAGCCACATCGCCCGTGCACCGGCAAGGTCTGATCAGGGGATCCGATCGTGAGCTGTCGTAACAAATCCAGCAATCACGGACAGAACCGATGCTACCAACGAGGGAGTCTGTTTCCACATTCTGAAAATATATTTAAAAATAACACAAATCCATATTAAAGCCATGTTAACCTGATTTGGGGTTTCAGCTCCTAGGAAATAAAAAGTGGGGGGGATGTAAAACGAAAGTATAATCTAAAATCTTGGAGATGACAATTATTTTAAACGGTTAAATAAAATAAAATCAAATACTTTGTGATCCACGATAAAATAAATAAGTGGCGCAACAACCATTTTAGGTCTGGGCATCAGATATCTGAATCTGTTTCATTGATCAGCCTCTTGTGCCTGACGCACGCCGTCGCCTTTTTGGGTCTAAGGCAAGCCGGTTTCCTTACTATGTTTTCCTTCACCGTTCGAGCGAATGTTTAATGTGCACATTGAAAGAAAGTCCACTAGTGCACAACCGGGACTCGAACCTACGACCTCAGGGATGAGAGTCGCACGCTGAAGCCGCTAGGCCCACACTGCTCTACTATCTGATAGCTCCCTCATAAAAAGTATTTACTTTTATGGGGTTAGACATGACAAGAAGAGTTGCTTTCTGGACAAATTATTACAGAGACATCACATATTAGTACACTCACCAAAGGATTAGTTAGACCCGTTATAGCCGCTGGAGGGAATCGATAGAGGAAAGAGGCGTACAGTACCCGGCAAATAGTGTACCAGTTATGCGTCACAGCCAGAAATAGACGCCATTTTTGGTGCCATGTCATCCTATATAGCTCCAGCTGAGAATTACGAGTACTAAGTAAAGGCCCATTTGCCCAGAAAACCCAGCTGCCCAAAATGGTTCCACGAAGCTTGAACGATCGACTATGAAGCGTGCAGGCGAAAATATTTTGTTTACAACGATGGAATTGGACCATAGTTTTGACAAACATCTACCAAAAATTGTGATCTCTTTTGGATTCTATGCCGAAGTATTTAAACTAATGTTGCAGTGAGAAATTGCCACATAAAATGGTGTTTCTATATTATTAAAAACTAAAAGATAGCAAACCTATTTAATTTGATTTTAGATGCCACAAGTTTCAATTGTGAATTTCTTTTTATATTTAATTTTACTAAGTACATATACGCACGTGATCAAAGCAGGATTCATGAGATTCAATTCCGAATACAGGACTTAGAACTCATACAGAATAATTATTTATACAGGGTGGCCAAAAAGACTGATCAAACCAAATAGGGGATAATGAGATCATCACGGCAAAAATTGTGCTACAGGAGGTCTCTAAGGTCAACCCCTCAGAGTTATGATTTATTTTGCGTTTTATAAGAAAATTGACTTTTTTACTAATTCTTATTAAAATTCGATAAAATCTACGTCCTGTATATTTTTCATAATATCCACTAGATTGGTGCTATGAGTTCTTGCTTCACACATACTATTTATAGTTGTTTATTGAGTGTATTGAAGATAATATTAAGTTATACGATATAATTTTTTTCAAATCAAAACTTTTTGTTTACTTCAGACCCCTCTTGAAAAAAATTACTCTACCGAAAAGTGACCCTGTATTACAAGTTTTGGCGCATTTCATAGGGATTCTGAAAAGGTATTACACATGGCCATGAGTCGCTCAATATCTTTCTAGGACGAAAAAACAACAACGATTCGGACTTATGATAGATTATTTACCTACATGGGACCAGTACTTGTGAATCGGACTAGATTCAAAAAATTAGACAGATGGCTGGAGGGTTACGTAGGAATTTGATTAGACGGTGCAGATTAAGTATTATGGTCAGAGTCAGGAATTTTGAGCATATTTTTGTAAATATTTTGTTTCTACAAACAACCATTGAGAAATAATTGTTTTAATACAATTATTATTTCACAATCTTTGTTTGTAATTCTTCCTAGAAAGATATTAGAGCGACTCATGCCACTTTCCTTTTCAGAATCCCTATTAAATCCCAAACTGTATACAGGACTTTTCGTGAGTAATTTTTTTCACATGGTCAAGTAAGAAAAATTTATCATTTGAAAAAATTTATATCTATCACTTAATATTATCTTATACACTCAATAAACCTTAGTATGTCGAACGCAAGAACTCATCAGTACCAATCTAGTGGATATTATGAGAAAGATACAGGATGTAGATATTTTCGAATTTTAAGAAGAATTAGTAAAAAAAGTCAATTTTCATATAAAACCAAAATAAATCATAACTCTGCAGGGGTTGACCTTAGAGACCTCCCGTAAACAATTTTTGCCGCTGATGACCTCATCTATACCCTATTTGCGTTTGATCCACGACTTTTGGCCACCCTGTATAAATCATAGATATCTTTATATATTTAATTCTACTGTACGTGCGTATCTCACTGAACTCCTCTTAAACAGCTGGACCGATTTGAATGATTTTTTGTATGCGTTTGGCGTCCTGGATGTTTAGATTCACAACTCAGCCTGGCAGATGGCGCTGCAGTACTTTCATACTTTGTTTAAAATCCTAATCGCTTGAAATATCATGCAGGATAACGTCTGTCGGGTCTGCTAGTATATATATAGTCCTAGCGATCGTAATTAAACGGATACGGTCTATGATTATCGGCTGCTATGTTAAAAATTCAATTTCATTTAAAATGGGAAATTTATTAAAATAATTCGGCATGGACAGTGGACACCCAATGCTCAGACAATGAGACACAGCACAAATTTTAGGCACCCCTATCCTTACAGTCTGTAAGTCTAGATATTTTTAATAGTTTTACAAACTATTTTAGTGAGGAAGTAGGTACTAGGATGAGTCAGGGCTACAAATCTCTGTCGGAAGTCTGAAGAAGCAAATAGCAATTGACAATTGAACAAAGTGAATAAAAATGAAGAACATAACAACAATAAAAGCATTAAAGCTGAAGACAACCAGCGCAAAACAACGATTAATACCACCTGAAGAACTTTCAAGTTCATTTGTTTTTTATATTTGAATAGAAAAAATTAATGGTATGAGGCCGTTCAAGTGTTACGTAAGCAGATTAACTGCTATTTATTCCCCCCTGCCCCCCCTCCTATTGTCAGCAAAAGTAAGGAAAGCTCTCGAAAATAATAATAGATAAACGTATAAATTTTTTGTAGGAATCCTCGAAAATGCAATTCGTCAATGTGTGGATAATATGTGTAAAAAAGTAAATAATTACTCCTAACGTAATCACCAAATAGGAAAATCAAAGAACCCCCCTTCCCCCTCTAGTGCTTACGTAATACTTGAACGGCCCCTATCAGGTAAATTAAAATAAATCCATATTTCACTAAACTATTTTTATCAAGTTTATTTAAATTAAAATATGTTATTTGAACAATTTTTGTTAAACGTCAACATAATACCAGTTAAATAGAACCAACCTTGTTGTCCTGGTTACTCCCGGGTCCTAGTAAATCGGCTAGCCTGGCCTCGTCCAATTGCTTGGCGAGCAGACGTCTCGGGTTCAATATCCACAATTGTTCGGGTGCCATACAGTTCCATAGAACACAGGGGAACCATAGCGTGACACCAATTTCAGCTAAACGAAAGACCAGGTCGTGCCAATTGCGAGATACCACCGGAACCCTGAACATGTAAAGACTGAGTATTTAAAAAGGTTTCTTTAATATTAAAAACGCTACTCTATTAATTTATTTTCACGTTTTGAGGCTTCAAGAGTGACCTCCGGTGTGTCAAAAACGTATTGAATTTGACACACTGGAGGAGTAATTTATACAACGTTTATCGTATTACTCCAATGAAAATTTAAGGGTAGAAAAAAGTTCATATTCGTCAATAAATTAATGCAAGTCCTATTCTGCATAAACCAAGTCAAGATTTTGTGGAACCACCTGCCCACTGAAGTATTACAGTAGGAAAAAAAACTTACATATTTGACACCGCAGACGAGATTATGACAGAAATACAGTTAGTTTTTAAACATCACTTACTTGGCTTTCCAGAATTCGCTCAATGTCTCAGAGGCGAGGAAGCCAACGATGAGAATCAGCATCAGCGCTTGACTGATGAGGCCCAAACGGGATTGGTGCAATTGGGAGTGGTTCACTGAACGTGGGTCCACTGTTCCATCCACCTCGGCTAGGTCCGTTTGGACGCCCTGAAATAAAAAAAAATCTTTAAGCTGGAACACAAGTTAGTTAGTAAAAATAAGAAACTTATAAAATAGTACAATAAATGAATGTTTTCTCACGTTCATTTATATTCAACTTGACATAAGAATGATAAGGACACCCAAATATTACTGAGTAACAAAGTCAGAGGAATCCCGATAACCAAGTCCAATACGTCTGTAATTTATTATAATCACAAGAAACTGACCTGCTTGACCAGTGTATCCTGCACATCATCACCATCAGCGGCTGAAGAGGGACCAGGTCTTGTAGTTACGATTGTACACACTTTAGTCTCGCGCAAGAATTCGCCGCGAAGCTGTTAATATAAAGATCGAATAGTTAATTTAACATGTTGTTGGTAAATTAAGGTTGCCTGGAAGAGATCGCTTTTTAGCGATAAGGCCGCCGATAAATTTTCTTTTAATGTAACGTATATATATATATACGTATATATATTTAATAAATAAATTGTGATCGTATTCTAGAAAGTAAATATTTTATACGTAAAACTAGCTGATCCGGCAAACGTCATTTTGCCATGTATTTCATTTATAATAAAAAATAGGGGTTGATCGTAGAGGGGTGAAAATTAGGGGTTGTATGTATTTTTTAATGATGTATCATAAAAAATAAAAAATAAGTAATTTATCTAAAAATTAAAAAAAATAATTTAGGGGTGGACTACCCATAACATTTAGGGGGATGAAAAATAGATGTTGTCCGATTCTCAGACATACCCAATATGCACACAAAATTTCATGAGAATTGGTCAAGCCGTTTCGGAGGAGTATGGCAACGAAAACCTGTGACACGAGAATTTTATATATTAGATAATTGTAATCAACGTGGTGACATTTACTCTATTATAGGCACATCTATATATATATAAGAAAAATGGTCTTCGTTTGAGGTTCCTTCACGCCTAAACCACTGATCGTATCGACATGAAGCTATTGCCATTCGATGCGAAATTTTCCTAGATGGTTTATGGCTATTTATTTTTTTAAATTCCAACGTTCCTTCATTTTTTTTATAGCTGTTTTACTTTTATGAAAATTTATACATACGGACTTCACCGCGGAAACATTCGGGGAGGCTTCCTAGAACCTCAAAACGTCAACATCTGTTAAAACTCGATTTTCGAAATTTTTTAATTTTCTTAGCGGGAAGTTAAAAAGAAGAATATTAAAAATATGAAAAAAGAAATAATAATGAAACATAAAATTTTATTTATTTCCTATTTTAATTCGCCCAGCGAAGCGGGCGGGAAAAGGCTAGTTTACTATATAAAAAAATATCAATGACTCAATTGCAAGAAACATAGAAATAAAAAACTTTATTATATAAAACACTATTTTGACCGGATTGAAGTTATGTATTTTTTTTTTTTTTAACTATTTAAATAATTTTAAATTTATCCGACGTTTCGCGTGCTTTACAGCGGGGGGGGTTTCGGGGAAAAAAAAATGTATTGTATGTGTCACCGAAATAAAAAATAAAATCGGAAAATAGTGTTTTTAAAAAAAATCTTTATCAAGTGGGTATCTTTTGACGTCAAGATTAAATTAATAAAAGTTATGTTTCATTAAACTTTATTATACACAATAAAAGGATATTTAGGTAAAATAAAAGTGCACTAGCCCACACTAGGATTCCATATGTCGTGGGCAGCTAGGCTCTTCCTTTTGACATGTTAACAGTACTTGACAAGAATTTCTCCAATTCACTTACAATTTTATAATTAAACTATTGTTGCATAAGAAGAGAACTTTCCGTTTCAGCATAGGACAGGTTGAAAAGACGTTGTTTAAGATTGTTAGTGAATGTATACAGTTTTGAATCGTTTGTGAAAATTTAGTTATTAAGACTTTTTAAAGTTACCGTGGGCGAGTATTTAGACCATAAGTTTGAAAACAATTATAAATAACTTATTATGACATTACGAAAATTAATATTACATTTGCATGCCTATTTTTATACAGCTGATTGTGCGATTTTTTATAATCAATCGATCTAAATGTACCTAAGGACCTAAGATCTCCGCAAATAAACGATTTTTTTTTTAATTTTAAAGACAGAGGAAATGCGTTTTGGGAGTGGCTTATATGTAGGTATGCGTTGTGAATGATGTGGTGTGGTCGGTGTTGGTTTGTCTGTAGTAATCAGATATCAAAAATCTACGGGTCTCAGTAGTAAAACATTTAAAATATTTATTTATCCTCCATGGTCTGTGCTAGGAAGCACCAAAGACAATACGCCGTTAACGTACAATTTTAAACCACAAATGGTGTAATGGTCCAATACTATGTATTGTTTATTTTAATTGCGCACCTTAATTCATTTTCCTCTTACTATATTTGAATATAACGCCAGCTAATTTTGTTGTGCTTATTTTCGCGTATGGGTAATTTTCATGGCCTTAACAGCGCTCTCACTCAGTCTCATGCGCGTAGATAATGCTCACCTACTACTGAGCAGATATTAAAATTTAGTTTAGGGGATAATTGGCCCTTGAATTCTTGTCAAAGTTTTAAAGTATTGTCGATACTTTATGGAGGGTCAGAATTTATGTGAATGCTATTTATTTTGAGACCGTTTAAGCTACATCATTCATTATGCCGACGGAAAGTGTCTGGGAGTATTGACAGTTTATTTGTAACTATACACTCAAAACATTTTTAAAATCAGCTATGAGAATTTACGTGAGTAGTACACTAATAATTTGAGACCAAAGCTTAACAATATGGCCGACGGAAAATGTCTGGGAGTTTACAATTTATTTTTCTATACACTCGAAAACATATATAAAAAAAAATACAGTAAGTAATTTTTTGAACACTTTGATTACCTGATACCTGAGATAGGCACGTTTGACCAAGCTAGCAGGTAGGCATAATCATGGTACATCTCAGCCCTCAATCGTCCACATTTATCCGTCAGAAAATACGTGACGTCTGGCGGCCCTGGAATAAGCTTAACTGTTTAATCCGTTATAATCGCGAATAATTTGAATAGCTATTATTATAACTAGCTGTAGGAATAATCAAATCACATGATTTTTTAATGTGTTTTGTAAGTTTTTAGTTTTTCATAAGGCACCATTTAATTAACATATCGCGCCTATTACAATTTTAAAAAAATCTGATAGAGTTGCGATTTAATTAGGTACATTCATAAATCGCTGACATGCTCTACACCAAATATTTATTTAAATTTTATAACTCTCATATTATAAATACCTTAAAATATACTTCGACGCCGTAGATCAGGAAGAAAATAACCACTACGAAGAGAAGTACCGCGTAGCACCCGTTGAACACGTGCTGGTAGAAACTCTGGAATTATTAAAGTGAATTTTAGTACTATAACATTTTCTTATTATGTATATGATGATCGACTATACTAATCACTATAGAGACTAGCTATATGACACATTATATATGTAAGTGTGTACGCTAAGGCTTTTTTCGACTGCTCAGATCAAGCGCTTAAAGCCATTGATGGAACAAATACACTGAAGTATTTCCGAACCAATTCGTCTTAGGGTCCTTCAAAAAAAGAGCGTACCAATTCTTAAAAGGCCGGCAACTCACGCGCGAGCCCTCTGGCATTGAGTGTCCTTGGGCGGGCGGTATCACTTAACATCAGATGATCCTACTGCCCGTTTGTCTCCTGTACTTAATTGTTACGAATTGTCTCGAACAACTGCCCGAAGTGGGATGGGCGGGTCGGAAAAGGGAATCTATATATATATAAAAATGAAACCCGTTTTCCGTTGTCACGACATAACATGAAAACGCCTTGACCGATATGTCTGATTCTTTTTTTATGATATTCCTTGAAGTACGAGGATGGTTCTTACGGAGAGAAAAATTAAAAAAAAAATGAGTGAAAAAGTCTAAAAACAACACTTTTCTATATTCCCATAAAAACAACAAAACAAAAATTCAAAAAACAAAATATTCGTAATAATATTTAAAGGCAATTTGAACTTTAATACCATATCATAAAGTTCAAGTGTTAGTGGAGGGGTTCCGGGAAGGTAAATTTTTATTTTTTGACAATGTATTTGTTGTCTTATCAACTTTCTTTTTTGTCTTACTAGCTAGACCGGTGTCCCGAATAGCAGAATAAGTATTTAAAAAAAATAAAGAATCGACTGTTAGGCGTACGATGTTAGCCAGGCCAGCTAGTAGATTATAAAAGAGGTTGTAACACATGCGCACTAGTGTTGCCCAAAATCGGTCTTGGTCTTGCAGTCTTGGTCTTGTTCTTGCGTTGCCGCAAGACCAAGACCAATACCAAGACCGCCTTATTATAGCAAGACCAATACCAAGACTGAACCCTGCAAGACTTGAGCAAGACAATACTTAAGCCTGCAAGAATCTTGCGTCTTGCAGTTAAGACAAACTGAGATTTGGGCGTTATTAAATCAAATACCTACTGTATTTGGTTTCAATCCCGATTTTGAGAAACGTTCCCCAGTATCAAAACCGTAGGTATCACATATCCTAACACTAAACTAAGGGCTGCAGTTGGCAACGTGCCGCTCGTCTGAAAGCACCCTGAAACGTATTGTATTGATTAGGTAGGTAAGTACTTATTATATTACAACAATTTATTAAGTAGCGTGTTAATACTCACAAATCTGTTCCCACCATCCCATGTGATAAAATTTACCTAGAATAACTTTATAGCAAAGTTCATACCTTGTAGGTATCTACCTATAATAATATGTTATGCTTGTTTATGTCTAATGTGCAGATCTTATGTTAGTACTCGTAGGTTGGTATGTGCTTAAAATTATAGCTAACAAAATTATATAAACATCATGTAGGTTAAATTAAAACTAACAGCGAGTCGAGTAGGTCTAGTAACAGTTTCTACAGCACCCAATATTATGGTACAGACGCCAGCACATCAAGCTACTAATAAAAATAATCTATCAAATTTCTTCAACAGATTTTCAAGTTTATCGCTAAGGAATTAAGGTTCAAAGTTGATTGGGGAAATGTGACGTTCTGCGAATAAACTGTTGGTCGGTCGGTGTATTATATACCTACTTATTTGATAATTTACCGACAAAGACGCCGCGGTTTGCAACAAGTGTATCACAGCATTTGACACTGTTTGAGCGCCGCATTCGCCGTCAAAGAGTACGGACAGAGGCACACAAATTTTTACCTATTTTGGTAGGGTTGGTTAGCCTTAAATGACCTTGAAGATGTCCCAGCAGTAGGAAGGTATAAATTGAATGCTCTGTGTTTCTTTTATTTAAATACATTCTCACACTGCCTGGCTTGAATTCGAACACTACAGCGTTAAAAGCTGTCGGGCCAGATGATAATTAATAACTAAGTAGGTATTGCATCTATTGAATTGCGAATATTTTGATTTCGAAATAATCATTGTTAATATCGGTAAATGATAGATAGTGAGTGATACTTAGGTACTAAAATGTGAGCAGCAAGATTGAAAAGTGTATATGCCATGTCAGTGCTTTCAATAAGTTTATTTTAAAAAAGCTCTCTAGTAAGATTTAGAGTTTACCATTCAATTACACACAACAAATTATTGAAAAACAAAAATTATGAAAAAGATATTTAGACTGAGTACTTAGGAAATAAGTAGAAAAAATATTCTATCGTGGATACCGAGTTATTAAAAATGGATAAACGTTGTGTTTACTTAATTTTATTTTTCTGTGCCAACATTGACATTGTGGGGTTGCCAACATTGACAACCCCACCAAAATAGGTAAAAATTTAGTCCGCTTCTAGACTTTGTGTTGCCGCCGTCGCTTTCATGTCAAAGGTCGCCGCCACTGCCCATGTTCTAAAGAATAAAATAAGTTTCTGGGTGCTATGAACGGACGCAAATAGATTAAGTATGTTGTTCTCGCAAGGAAGAATGTAGTCGTAAGGATAGGTAGATTTATATAAAAAAATTGTAAGTAATAAAAATATACCTAGATAATATTATTATTACCTATTATACCTTTTTAAAGGACATTGCACTGCAAAATTGGAAGTGGGTGATTTTAACAAACTTAAAACGTGGAAAAGCTCCAAATATGAGCGACGTCATATTTCTTTACGCATTTTGTTTTAAAATCACACACTTCCAAAAATCGAGATTTGCAGTGTCGGTTTATCAACTTCTATCGTACCTACTCTAGTAGCGACTATTGTCTTCAGAGATGATTTACTATATAAATAAAAATAATCGTCGTGTAGGTACGACGATAATTTTTCTAAGGAATACAATTTTGTTGTAGTAGGTACCTACATCGTTTCTTACTTACACATACTTTAACGACAGTACCTACTTAGCAAAGCGCGCCAGTCACGAGTATGACAAATTGCCTAAAAAACCTACCTACGCACACTGTAATGAAATCTGCTAATCTCTCAATCTCTGCCTGTAGCCTGCCTGCTATTATTGGTTGATGAACATTGTACATTGGTGAATGCTCCAGGATAGCCCGCAAGCCCCCACAAATAGTAATAGGCTATAGGTATTTGCAAGTCTCGCAAGACTTGCAAGACTCTTGCTGCAAGATCAAGACCAAGACTGAGAGCGCAATACCAATACCAAGACCAAGACCAGGTGTATTGACGCAAGACAATACCAAGACTGGTCTAAGTCTCGTCTTGGTCTTGCATTTGGGCAACACTAATGCGCACGGGCAATTCCTTTGTTCAAGTTTGAAGTTATAGAGTTTACGTAAAATCAGTGAAGTGAAGTATGTTAAATCAAGTCTTCATTGGAGTTTTTAATTTCTTACCCTAAGAACTAGATCAACTCGCCCTTACACTTGGCTCTGTCGTTACGAATCGTTCTAAGATTGATGAACTTGAAACACTGCGCCGTTAGCATAGTTGAGGAATTGAAATTTATGCGCAAAACCGCTGCTTTACACTAGAACTTGTTTTCGGTTGAACTCGTTATACGAAATCAATTTAATCGAACGACTAACTAAAATAAGAATATCTATAAATAACTTGCGTTGATTTTAAGATTTTTATTACATTCCGGTAGGATGGTCTCATTTGAATCAAACACCGGACCACACTTGTTAGAGCCAGTTTAAAGTTTAACGAAATAAAATGTATTTGGTCATACGATGCGAAAGATTTCAAAACATTAAAATTACCAGAATTTTCTAAATTCCGTCTTTTAAAACCAACCTAGGAGTTCAGGCACCTCTCATTTGAATTCTTCGCGAATACAACAGAACAAACACTACTTATCCAGGGCTTGATATATTCGGTAGTAGGCTGATCAATTTAAAGAAAGCATTATTAAGTGCCTATCTCATAGCTAATACTGCTATTTTGCTGGTATTTTTTTGATTAATAATGCGCAAAAAATTCCTAGTATTTTATTGTATTTGTAACATTTATATTTACCAAAATTGTCAAAGCTTACAAGATAGCTTGTAACATGTACTGTAGATATAGCAATAAGTGGTAAACTTTAATTAATTATTACCAAAAAGTAGGAAATAATACAAATATAAAATTAATTCAAATTACAAATAATTAAATCTGCTCAATAGTAGTGGTGGTATGACCATTAGAGGGGGTTTGTAATGATGGGTGACCATACGCGAAAATAAATACAACAAAATTGGCTGGCGTTATTTTCAAATATAGTAAGAGGAAAATGAACAACATAAAGTAGCTTGGACCTTATACCGTAGGCGTAGATAGTATAATGTATGATGTATTAAACTTCAATAAATAAATAAAAAAACAGAACAAGGGTAAACATTTTTTAAACGATTCATGTCATTGCTAACTCCTTAAATATACAAGCCTACATAAAATATAATTATAATCGATTCTATTATAATGTATGAGTCAATGGTGTTGAATGTTAGCACTTTTCGTTTCTTTGTCTTCCTCAAGGATAATTAAATAATTGCGAAATTATTTCTAGGCTAAGCGGCAAAAAATGTTTTGTAACAATCTGTATTCTTATACACGCTATAAATTGCGTCTATTTTGTGTAAAACAAAAAACTTGGCGATTAAAAAGAGTGGTGGAGAGTTTATTGCCAAATCTTCTCTTCCGTTTTAAGCTCTTGATTTAAGAACTGGCAGTAAATAAAAAATTAGAAGCATTTGTGTACATTGTGTTACCTATATGAATAAATGATTTTTGACTTTATTTATATATACATACCTAGATTTTATTATTAATAACATAGCAAGCAACTCTTCTTTACTCAGCCAGTGTACAAATAGGTAATAAAATATCGATACGTATACGTTGCCTGAGTGGAATTACAGAAAACGTCTTCCTCAATTATACTAACGACTTATTAGTCTAGATGTTAAAGGACACGCAAGCTATATATGTTCAATGCTATGTTGATTGATTTTTAAGTTTTATTTGAACTTAATTGACTTTTTTGTATGGTATATCTTAGGTGATACTTCGCTGTAACAATTTACTGTCATTTAATTAGAAATATGTTTATGTATTTGATTATGTATTTGATTATGTAATTGAATATGCATTGAGTCTTTAGGCACCAAAGTTAGTTATGTTTTCGGTATTTCTATTTATTAAATTTATTTAAAAAAATGTGGACGACGATGTTATATAGCAAATGCCTTATATGCCTTTAAAAGCTGATAACATTATATCAGTGGAAATATAACCTTTTTAGGTCTGGGCCTCTGATTTCTGTATCTGTTTCATGATCATTTGTTAATCGAATAGGCTAGTAGGTGATGAGCCTCCGGTCGCACACGCCATCGACTTTTTGGGTCTAAGGCAAGCCCGGTTTCCTCACGATGTTTTCCTTCACCGTTCGAGCGAATGTTAAATGCGCACATAGAAAGAAAGTCCATTGGTGCACAGCCGGGGATAGAACCCACGACCTCAAGGAAGAGAGTCGCACGCTGAAGCCACTAGGCCAACACTGCTATGAAATAAAAGCTGATAACAGTCTGAATATATAATCGGTGGACTTCACCGGACTTAGCGCATAGGTCAAAATCCAAGTTCCCATTTAAATGAAAATAATATAGTTACTATGGCAACTAACACGGTACTAACTTTGATATATCAATTGTTTTCTGTCGTTTTTAATTTTATTTTTTTTATTATCAGACAAGTCCAAAGGCCAAATTATTTTAGCTTAGCTAAAGACTCATAGAGTATAAATATCTAATATGATTAGCAAGTTTATGTTATTTCAAGTAAATGTGCTAATTAAATTTACTTTGTTTGAATACAATTTTATACAAATAAAAGGTACCATTAAATAATATGAAAACATTATTGAATTCTCAAATCAAAAATCATTTATTTATGTAGGTAACACAATGTACGTGATGAACGTCAAAAAAAGAAATATACATTAAACTCTTATAATTTTACATTTACTGCCAGTTCTTAAATCAAAGGCGTAGAACGGAAGAGAAGAACTGGCAATAAACTCTCCACCACTCTTTTTAATTATTTATTATTATTATCCTTTTCTCAGTTTTAGTCATAGTCTGACAGTTTGAGTAATTTATGCGGCCTGCCCAAATGTCTTGTCTTTGGACTTGACAGGTCCACTCAATCTGTGTGGTTTTTTCCTGAAAAGACCATTTCAGACTGCAATCTACATGGTCTTCACATAATCTTGTTATGTCTGGACTTTAAAAGAGACTGTGACCTCTGAGTTTGTTTCGGCGTTTCTTCTCAGAGTAGTCGGACAGGAAACGTCGATCTCATCTAGTTTTAAAAAAAATGTTTGACGTGTAATAGTGTTAGTAAAAACCTACTTACAGAAATAAATCATTTATCATTTATCATTTATTTATCATTTAATTGCAAGTTTTTTGTTTTACACAACGTTTGTAAGGACCTGCAACCATTACACCATGTTCTACATGACATCTTAAGTAATAAATTATAATAAAATAAATTAAAAACAAAGATTTGTCCTTCATCAGCAGGAGGCATGGTGAAATAGGAGCTCGCACTTACATTCTCGTGGGAACAACACGCAAATACATAGTCGAAACAACTATAAACATTCTGTAAGTTAATTTCGTATTTGGCATGAAATATTTATTAATATTTACGTCCCGATTGTAGGTATTCTTTTCATTTTACCTATCACGCCAATGACCGTCGTTACCGTTATTCACCAATGTTTAGTATGAATGAATTAGCAAGGTTGTTAAATTTATTGACTCATTTCTCAATTCGTTTGTATGTAAAAATTGATTTCTTAATTCCTTTTTTTGCGACTGAGGCGCAAACTAGCTGATGTGGTCTCTGCCAGAATGACCAGCGCTGTGGAACATTCTGCTCCTCAGCATAATGCTGAGCCAGGGCAAATTACAGCCACAGCACACACACATTTCATACTTAAACCGAACCGAATGATTTTTTTTTAATATTTTTATATATCTCTCATTATATTATTTTTCTTTTATTATTGTTATTTTGTGGGTTTATGTGTGAGTGATTTTGTTTGTAATAAATAATATGTCTATGTCTAATTATTAACGTTTTCCTTGTACTTTTAGTTATGAATATTGGCACTGATATCCTTTAAATAGAAAAAAAAATGTGCTTAGGTTTTAAATACGTTGTAGAACCTTTGACTGAATGCTTTTTTTCGACAGTAATCGAACTCACTCCTCGCATGTAAGCAATTGACTAAAGCAAATGAGTCGTATTAAAATCGTAAATCATTATTTACCTAAAACAAATTTTATGTATTTCAAACGAAGTTTAGGCAAATATATTTTATGATCAGACTATTTATTCCAAGCAAATATTTCGTTCAAACCGACAATGGTGTGTAGTGTGTGACTAAAAAGGCAAAGATCCTGTAGAGTAAACAGCTGATTATGGCAGTCTTGATTTTCCTTTTTAACTAAATATAAATATGGAGAAATAAGCGAAATACGAAAATTGTGCTGAAACTGTTCCTTCTCTTCGTATTTCATAGAGAAGTAGGGAAGGGGATGACGGGTCTGGGCGTTACTGCATACGATTTTTTGCATTTTCTGAGAAGATTTACTATAGTAATATATATATATATATTTTTTTACCATAGGAAAGTAGAGATTTCAACGAACTGAAAGCACACCAACTTTTTGAAAAAGGCTGATGTTTTGACGGGTGAATTTTCGATTGAAAATTAGGGTGCTTTTTCGATATCAATTCAAAATAAGGTGAAAAAAATTATTATTTCAAATCAAATAAATTACAGCGTATTAAAGACAATAAAAGGTAAGTTTTCACCAAATTTCGTGGGAAAAAATAAATTTAGAAAAAGATAAAAATTAAAAACCAAAAACTTGGTTTTTTGAATTTTACACATAAATTTTGAGGTTATGTGACAAAAGTTTTAGATCTTTTTATTACCTATAACTTTGCCATTTGACTTTTTTCCATAGGAATTTTAGTTTTGCCGGAAATCGAGATAAACCGTTTTTTACCCTTAAAACTCCCCCCCTACCCCTTCCCGACTTCAGATCGCCCGTAAATTATTTTTCCTTTAATTTTTATAATATTCTCCTCCCTTTCCAATAGGTTTCATCCTACTATTATTCTTTTTTATTTTTTTTAAGGCTTCTACCCTGGTCTACTACGCCCTTAATTTGAGATCTGGCAGTAAATTTAAATTTAGAATTATTTTTTAAATTACCTTAAATTGTACTTTAATTACCCATGAATAAATCATAATTTAATTTTGAGTAATGCAGTATCCCTAAACTTAGAAATAAATAATGGTTTGGAGTATTTTGAGAAAAAATAAATTGTCACATTATCAACGCATACAAGGCCAACGAATTGAAAAACCAAATAGGCAATTTGTCAGACCCACGCCTTTGTTAAGCCCATTCAGATAAACTAGATATAAGGTCAAATATATGAAATCTTATCTATGGAATAATTAGATTTTTTTTAAATGTTTAAACATCACTAAAGAGTTTAAATTTAGTGCCTGAAGTATTATTTTTATGTAGTAACACTCCAGTGTAAATACAACTACCACGGAGAGAGTTCAGAGAAGTACATCTGCAGCTGAGTTTCATCATCGGACTTCGAAACGAAATACCACCCGTATCATGTCGACGCCCACAAATTAGCGTTATTTAAGGCAATTTTTGCGCACCACCACTATGTGGAACCAGCTGCACACTGATGTATTTCCGAACCAATTCGACTTAGGGTCCTTCAAGAAAAGAGCGTACCAATTCTTATGCCGGCAACGCACTCGCGAGTCTTGTGACATTAAGAGCCTCCATCCCGTTTGCCCCCTGTTCTATATAGAATAATAAAAAATCTAAGAAACGTACGTAAATATTTTTTTTAAGTCTCAAACAATATCGTGAGAACAAATTTAATAAAAGGGCCCCAGACCCTTACGCGTCACAAGGAAACTAAGAAATTTAGGTAGATCTCACCTTTTTCTCAATTGAAGTATTAGCCACGTTGATGGTGAGAACTTCAGCGAAGAGGAGTGAATAGATGATCACATTGAAGGTGACGAACGCCAGGAATGACTTAGAGAGGAAACGCTGTCTCTCCCATCGCACATCGCGGAGGTGGAACACCTGCAACACAGATACATATATGTAGTTACATATGTCTACATATTTAATAAGAAGGAAATATAATTTATTTGATTAAAGCACGCATATATATAAATAAAAAATCTTTTGCGGTGCAACCTCTTTTTGTTTTGGCTTGCGTTTTCTGTCTGTGTTTTTTTTTTTTTTTTTTTCTTTTAACCAAAGGGGGGGGGGGTGCCCCTCCCCTTTCCCCTTTCTTTCCCCTTTTTTTTTTTTTTGCCCCCCCTTTTTTTTTTTTTTCACGCATGTTTTCCTTCACCTATCATCAAATGCGCAAATAAAAAATCTGTGGCGCAAAGAGACCCAAAGAAAATCGACTAAAAGATGTACCAACCAACTCCGGGGTAATAAATACAGATAAGGCAACTTTCTCTACAGCTGTGATACTTTTTGACATCCAACATCTTTTGTCTTCAGTCACCGTGACCACGCACGCTGTAAAGCACGCGAAACGTCGGATAAATTTAAAATTATGTTAAATAGTTGTAAATTTATAATAATACATAACTTCAATCCGGTTAAAAAGCTTTTTCTTTAAATGTGTAAAGGTTATGTAAATCAAAGACAAAACCGGATCTAAACAAAATTAGTTATAATTGAAAACTATTAATAAATAACCCACGTAAAAATTTACACAAACAAATCTATGTAATTAACTAATTAGTAGTCCATTCACAAAACAAATAATTTACATAAAATTAAATTACATAATATGTAAACAACATTAGATAGAGTAAACACTAATCGTGTACGTCTTGATTACAGTAAATAAATCAGCCCATGTTAGATTTGTCGCGACTTTTTTTAAATATAATGGAAGGCAAACGGGCATGAGGCTCACCTGTTGTTAAGTGATACCGCCGCCCATAGACACTCACATTGCCAGAGGGCGTTGTCCGTTGCCGGCCTTTTAATAATTGGTACTCTCTTTTCTTGAAGGACTTGGGTCCTTAGGAGGAACCTTTCGACTTAGGAGTCGAATTGGTTCGGAAATACTTCAGTGGGAAGATGGAGTGACTTAAAGCATTTTTTGAAAACTCAGAAGACTATCAAAATATATTTAATTTTCACATTTTCACTTAGATTGAGCTAAGCCTCGTTTCTAAATCTTACTCTAAAGGCCCATTTATATGGGGAAAGTGCGAGAAATCGTACGCGACTAACACCAGAAATAATCGCCATAGCATTATCGTATCAAAATGTTAACATACAAAAACTAAATTCTCATCTACGATTGTCGTACGAGATTCGCAAGTGATTTATCGCTAGGTGATAATTTCCTGCGTCTGTTTACACATCGACATTTTATTAAGAAGATTCTTTCTGACGAGAATCTCGACACAATAAAATTTCCATTGCGAGGCAATTGTCGCCAAAGTGGAAGAGCAATTGGTGTGAATGTTTAGACGAAGAAACTTTTCAATATTCTTTCGATAATCGTACCTTCGAGACGAGAAACTCTCCATCTAAATGGGCATTAAGTGACACTCTGGTATGTATGACTTAGACTTACGGTAGTCAAGTTCAGTTCGCGCAGCAGCCCTAAGCACCTCTATATATTTTTTTAATAAGATAAGCTACTACTGCAGATTACTTCAACGCGACTATTAACATTTATATCACATACAAAACACTACAGACACAGAGTACAACCAACATAACATTAAACTGTAAGGCTATGTTCAGATGGCAAAAACTTGACGCGCGTTTTCAAATCGCGCGACTAGATATTGTGGTATTTTCATACAACTGTTCACATGAGCGCGCGTTAACGCGCGTCAACGGGGCGCTCAGAGAAAAAGTCTCTAGACGCAGGTGATCGCGCGTTGACGCGCGCTTTGATATTAATGTAATGTCCGTATGCTGTTCAGTTGAGCGCGCGCTTTCATCGCGATCGCATGTAATTTTGTTAATTTTCGTAATTATATTTATAACAAACTGGGTCTATTTTTCAAAATTGGATGAACCTAATGTGTACGTTTTCTTTTTCTATATTTTTCTTTATAATATAACCACAAAATATTATCCTCTTCCACGTCCATTTTCTACGTTCTACCGAACTAGACTGACGAGTATTCTCGCAACGCGCATTAGCGCTCATCATCTGAACTCTCTTCAAATTTGATCGCGCGTTGACGCGCGTTAACGCGCGTTACATGTGAACATAGCCTAATACAGTAAAATATTTACAAAAATATTCTAATAAAACTATGTATTCCTGTAGCTGTTATATTCGTGAAGAATTCGAATGAGAGGTGCCTGAACTCCTTGGTTGGCTTTCGCAGGCGGAATTTGAAAGAATCTGCTGATTTTGAAACTTATAAGCATTTTCACCATATTATTGACACATTTCAAATGATTTTTAATATATACTCTGATATTTAATTCCGTAGAATTCTGACAGCTATAATTTTTTGACATGTCAGAGATGACAAATCATTTGGCCAGGCACATTTTTTAATTTCAATACGAGTCTGAACATCCGAGTCTATTCATACATTTTATTTGTTAGTGAATGTATCCATTTTATTAAGTGCGGTGGTCCTCATTAAAAGTGGTTTTATGGCGAGTGATAATTACGTCCCTTTTCATCATTAACAGTAAAAAAAACGCACAAGAAGAAAAAACATTTTATTTTAGAAAGGTTTACTACACCTGGAATTACTACTAATTCCAGGTGTAGTAAACCTTTCAACAACTTCAAACAGTGATGCCAGCTAAAAAATTTAAAAGTAATTAAAGTTCATTCGATATATTGTTCTTGATATTGAAATATTTGTTATTTCTGTATTAGGTCACTAAACTAAGTGAATATTTAAATTTACCTTTTTGTAGGTAAAACATAAAAATACGTCGAAATTTTTTTATTGCCTTCAAATGGGTCAGATTTGTCCCTTTTTCGGTGGAGAACTTTTTTAGTAGCAACACTTATGAAATGTCAGAATTCTACGGAATTAAAAATCAGAGTATAGTATACTGATGGAAACGATAATTTGCATCTCCTCCCGCTACGAGACCTTTGAGATTTCTGTAGAATGCAAATAGGCAGGTCTCTCTACAATGGCTTTGGCACGGATACTCATTAAATCATGACTTTAATATTGATTGATTAATGTTCATCCAAGGTTAAGACACCAGCATTACGGATATTGAGAGAACTAAATCACTTTGAGTATTTTTTATTAAGAAAACCTAGTGGCGCTACAACCTTTTTAGTTCTGTGGGCATCTGATTTTGTATCTGTTTCATTTGTCAATTTAATAGGCTAGTAGGTGTTTTTGGGTCTAAGGCTGACTATTTTCCTCATGATATTTTCCCTCAAAGTATAAGCATAGATATTTCATTAGTGCACAGCCGGGGATGGAACCTACGACCTCAGTGATGAGAGTCTGTAACTCTCTCTCCAACACTGCTCTTGTAATTTTTATAAAAAAAAAAAACAACAAAAAAAACATACAAAAAACATACACATATCTGATTTAACATCTTTTCTGTTGACGTTCATAAGTTTACTTGGTTACCTATATGAATAAAGTTATTTTGAGTTTGAAATATTTTTTTGCATTAAATTTAACCGTAAACGATAATCGCTTTGATCCGTGAACATGTGATGACGTCGAACAAATTTATATTGAATAATTCATGCAATAAATTAGAATCAATAAAACGCTTCTAGACAAGAAGTTTAATCGTTCTGTATTGAGTTATTTCTTTATTATCAAATCGAGATTGAAACGTAATTAAAAATTTACTTTTCTCAACAGAAATACCGGTTTTCGTCAAATTAATTTTTAAATATTTACACTTTTAAATTATTTTGAGTTGTATGGATTTTTAAGGACCGTTTCGTTACTATTTTTATAATACTAGCTGACCCGGCAAACGTCGTTTCGACATGTATATCATTTATAATAAAAAATAGGGGTTGATCGTAGAGGGGTGAAAATTAGGGGTTGTATGGATATTTTAATGCTGTATCATAAAAAAATAAAAATTAAAAAAAAATTAGGGGTGGACTACCCTTAACATTTAGGGGATCAAAAATAGATGTTGTCCGATTCTCGTTATACCCAATATGCCCATTCCATAAGAACCGGTCAAGCCGTATCGGAGGAGTTTAACTACGACACGAGAATTTTATAGATTAGATATATATTTTTTTGTGTGTTCACAGTTATCTTTGTAGTTTATGAACCGATTTTGATGATAATTTTGTTGGTGGATAAGATTTCTAAGGCGGTACCAGACCCAAAAAACTATCTATCAGGAGTTTAGGGGTTTGAATCCAGTATAATACGCGAAATAGAACTCATTTGAGTGTACGACCAACCAGGCTCAAAAGAAACTTATGGAAATTGTCGTTTTACAACAAACTCCCAAGCGAAATTAGAGTATTATCAGTATCACTAAATAAATTCAAAGCCCTCGTTAAACGGAAATAATTCAATAAAGCGTTTTATAAATTTGAGGAATATAATATAATAATAATTTTTATTAATCAGACAAATACAGTCCATTGATTGATTAGTGAGTTAGTAACAATAGTTTCTAAAGATCTATGTTAGAGAATTAGTAAAAATAAGGAAAAAGTAGTTAAATAAAAACTATCAGTACAAAGCCCTGCGGAGATGTCGGAGCAGTGTCGTAAATAGGGGCACTCCATTCTTTCGACTATCATCCGTAAGATGTTGCTGGAACTGCCCAATACTTAAATGATCCTAATCCTTGGAATTGATTTGCTCCAGTTCAAACAATTTGTATGACAATACTTGGCGATTAAAAAGAGTGGCGGAAAGTTTCTTGCCAGTTCTTCTTACCCGCTCTACGCCCTTGACTTGCGAACTGGTAGTAAATGTAAATTTACAATTAATTTATCTTGACAATTTAAAAGTGTACTTGGTTACCCACTTGAATAAAGATATTTTGAGTTTGAGTTTGAATAACATAGCATTTGGTTTATTAGAACAGAATTAATTAACAAT